AAGCGCGTGCCGTGACCTTGCCCGCGTGATGCATCATACGTGTGTGACTTACGGCCAACCCGAGCAGATGCTATTATTGTCACGTAGGCAACCTACGGCTGAATTCTTTGACGAACGAACGGTCGCACCAACGGCCACCAGACGACCTTTTGTACTATTATTACTTTCCTCTCGTTTTTGTGCGGCTCCCATTGGAGAATGTCCCATTTGGTCTCCGCTTAATTTAACTCTAGGGTTCGGTAGGCACGTCTCATTATAATCGCTGTAAAAATCTACGCGCGAAGGCTGAATAAGGATGTAATTGAGGTTTCAACGTCTGTGTGATCTCGAACGTTTCCGACGCGAACACGGGAACACACGCCTTGGTGTAACGCATAATCGTTATTTCATTTGGAATAACGAGCTGAAAATATCTTCAATGCGAATTAAACGCTCGAATTCCTGACATAATGACCGAAGACAGTCTGAGACATGCATAGACATCGGCGAGTTAATCAACTCAAAATAACGGCGCGAACAAATTTATCTTTCCATATTTAAATTTGTAAATCTTACTACTTTCTCTCTCGCCTATAGTGACACATTTATACCGCGCTGAGTCTGTGTGAATGGAGAGTGGTGGATGCGACACCCACGTGTACACACGATCGACTTTCATTCATGTAGTCACTATGGTCATGTGAACTCTTACCTTAGCATAATCGCAAGTACGCATAGATGGTGGCACGTTGTCTCATACGGACACACGTACAGCATGAGCTGTCCGCCGGCTCGTATCCACGCACATATATTATATTCAGTGCGATCGCTATTATTAGTGTTTGACTCTATCGTAGGCAGGGTAGAATGGCGAGCTTGGAAAAGCGGAGACGGTCACGTTTCCGCACATCCCGGATATATATGTCGATCTAATCGATCACGCGAGAATGCTCACAGCCCACTTCGCGGAGTCACTATTAATAATAACTCTCTGATTTCTTCCTCTCCTCTCGTTCTTCTGACCGCGCGTTAGACTGTGCGTTCTCTTTTTTTTCCGGTTCATCTCGTCGAGACTCGTATTTTGCCAGAAATAAAATTTACTACACAATCGATTTCTAATCCCCAATTCAGCGGAAATTTATTCGGGCGTGCTCGAATGTGCACTTCAGTGTGTAACACTGTGAAAAGTTATGGCCCTTATCTTCATCGAAGTATGATGTATGGCTGGCCATACGTTGCGCCCATAATGCAGTTTAACCATATAATTTCGCCGTCGTGTCGGAAATGTCGTGCGCAGCGTAGCCCAGGAAACTGGTACAAAACTAATATCGTCACGCCGACGCACCGCAAAATATCGCGTTTTATCATTTAACACTTTCACTTTATCACCCAGCTCTATACATTCGCGTCAAAATATTCCCACCTCTCTGTTGTGAAAATGAGATCTAAAGTTTAAACAGTTATAATAAGAGTTCCGCGTGTTATAAATATGTTATCAAGTTTTGTTTCTCACGCATCTCTCTCTCTCACGCAGTCACTCATTCGTTCACTCACCGGTGTAAAAATATATAAATCATGCGGAGAAACCTCGATATCATCCCGCGTTCAAAATGACGCGTTTTACAGGGAAATTTCAAATACTTTATGCACGTTTAAACGCGCACAAACGGGCTTTTCGCAGAAATCGCGGTGTGTATTCGCATGAGAGCGCGACATATTGGTTTTGATTGAACTCTGACTCGGTTCAACTGCTTTGGGCTGTGCTGGACAAGCACGAGGTAGATGAAAACGTGAATGTAACAAAATGAAGGGAGAATCTAGCTGGCAGTGCGGATTGGATGACAAAAATAACAGCTAGAGCATCACTTTTGACACGTGTAGTGGTAAATACGCTCGCGCCGGCAATGCGTATGCATGCACAGTTCCGCGCGCGCACTCATGTTGTCCTACAATAGAAGTAAAACTTTATTCCGCGTTCCATTTGGTAAATTAAACTAATCTAACTGAAGAACGGTAATCATGTTAAAATGAGGGAGAGAACGAGCACATCACTAGTTAATTTTCGCGATTGTTACAAGATTGATTTCCACGTAGTTTAAATTCACGTAAAATCCTTAGTTGCGTTGTCAGTCGCGTCTCGGATTCGACCTTTAAATATTCCGAATGTCTGAATTTGCTTTGCGTTTTTTCTTTGCTATAAGATACAAATTATACAAGCGGTAACGCGATTAAAGAAACAACACGTTAATAAGACAATAAAAGGTCTCGCCGAAAGATAAAAGAGCAAATATTTATAATCGATACGAATAGCCGACCATCGCGCGCAAAATGCGGCATAAAAATTCGGTCAGGCGATTTTGAGGCTCGGAATCGGCTATGAGCGCGACGGCAGAGCAGTAATCAAGTCCAGATGGGTCGCACTGATTGACAATTTTCCGCGGTCCCCTTCCCTTAACCAGCCCCTTGCGCCATCCCTATGTTGTCCGCCACTTCTGCGCTCCATCGAATTCTCGAATATCGTTTTCGATGCTTATAAAACGACCTGCAAACTGACGGCCGCAAATATTTGTGTGTACATCGTGACACTGTAACAACGATTGGCACAAAGCCATTTTCTCTTTTTCTATTTTTTTTTTACACTAGAAAAGGTTACTCCATTGATTTAAGAGGAGTTACAGAGGAAAAACGAATTAAATATCATGCAAAATAAATTTTCTCCTGACGAAGAAATAAACGATGATGTTCGTTAATCAATGAGTTGGTTGACCATTTTTGCGTAATAGAAAGTATCAGCTGTCGCATTCGCGTGTTGTGGATTAAAGATGAAGTATCGGCGCTCATGAGTATCAATTAGCAAGCGAGCGAGCTGATAAATCTCGTAAAGACTCGTCTAATAGAGTCCAAGTGCTCGGCGAGAGGAAAAGAGAGATCGGAGGGAGAAAAGGATGAATCACGTCATCAGCAAATTGAAATATTTTTCATATTTTAAATTGCCGATGACCTCGTTTCCTCTCGACCTCTCGAACTTCGTCCTCTCGAGCGCGCAACGTGAACATTCGACTGACAATAGCGAGCAACAATGGAGCTGGCCGGATTAAAATGCAAATTAGTCTATAAGTCAGGACATTATATAATTGTTAGCTGCCGGGCTCGGCGCTTATTGTCATGGCAATAAACTTCCGAGATTTGGGGTGTCAGCAAGGGGTATCCAACGGTATACACTTGTACTTAAAAGATTACACACAGAAGATATCTTGGATTGCAAACGCTATTAGACGCCTCTTTCGCGCTGGTTTCAATTAGAATGAGTATGTTCATTCCAAGAGTTCAAAATAATTGAAAATTAAGTCAATCGATTTTATGCAAGATAAATACGATATAAATGATGTTATTTTTTACATTTTCTTCTTCAGATAAATGTACTGTTTTTCCACACAGATTTCTTTATTAACTTTTGATACTTAAATATTGCATGTAAGCTTTAGTGAGCTAGCCCGTAGCTAGCTCATTTTTGTCCATTATCTGTTAGGTAAAATGGTCGAGCATGGAGTAACTTGTTAATGCTTATAATGTTGTAATAATAGTATATGTAACAGTGATATTTAATTAATCTTATAAAAGACGTTGATTGACCTAATTCAGTAAAGTAAGTAAGTTAATTAAGTAGTCTGCTTTTCTTATCTGCGATGTCTCATACTAATATGCACCTTTTTTATTTAGGACTCTATTTTGGAAACACTATTTGTGACTCTCTCTTCGACCTGTCTTTTTCTTTTTCTGCCATAAGACTGCTTATCAGTTGCCGAAACATAAACTTTAGACGTCTCTATTGGTTTAATTTTTGCTCGCGCGTCTTATGTTCTATCTATCGAAAGTTGAGCTCGTTTTTTGACTGATTTTGTTTATCCGCAGATAATTTACTTTAGAATCTTACATGTATGACGATTTAGTCACTATTCTGCGGAAATAGGTACACGTGCGTATATTCACAGTAGCAACTTTAATATTTATTGTTCCTCCCTTTTCGAGCGTTAGAAGAAAAGAGCTCGGGATCACTGTCCCATTCGACTCGCGTATCACCCTGTGCATTACCTTCCTCTCGCAGGTAATTAGCATAAAAGCGATAACGTGAGTGCTATGGCAACGACAGCCGGCACCTTTCAAAGAGACCGTTTATATTGCAAAAAAAGAATTCTGCGTTTGAAGGTATTTGCGGAAAATTCAGGCGAATAACAACGAAACGTTTCATTATGCAAATCCGCTTTGAATAATACTCTCGATGTTCATAATGTGTATTTAAAGTAACTTTTTTAATTTAAAAGCACATTTATATAGCAACGCGATATTACAAAATGTAATATCGTGTTACAAAATTTATCAAACTAGGAACGATAAATGTTTACTCGCGTAATGTAGCGTATGCGTAAAATAACGTGTTGTTGACGTCTCGTTCATTTTTCTAAAATCTAAAATTTTGAAAGTTTCCTCTATCTTCCATTTTTTTCGAAGTTCTTATATGTTAAAGTGCCAGAATTAGAGAAAAAAATAATCATGAGAGAGAGAGAGAGAGAGAGAGAGAGAGAGACGCACAATGCAATTATTCCTTATTCAATTAATTGTATAATCGAGCACGTAATGTTAATGCCATGTTAGAATATGCGGAAGTAGACGGTAATAACGGTTATTTTCACGATATCATATTGCTATAATGATACTGATGTGTACGCATATTAAATTACTTTCTGAGGAGATCAGAGGTCAGTGTGTTGATGTTTCCGATGTATCAGCAGTTATGTGCCCGTCACTTATGGCTCCCTAGTTAATCGTTAAAGCTACAGGCACTTGCATTCATTAAGAAATGCGTTTATGCTTAACAAATTATTATATCAGGATATAACGCAATTATACGTTGCGTTTATGTAGTAGAAATATACTTTTGCTCTCTCTTCTTCCTCCTTTTACTCTGCAAACAGCTTTACGATTTTAACGTTATACAATTTCACAAAACGCGACATTTTTCGACACAGCACTGCACGTTAAACGAATATCGTTGTTCGGTATTTGGCGAAGCACCAGTTTTAATCATACTTTGCAACTTGACAGTCTATTTATACCAGGCGTTATTACGGTTTCTTGAGTGTTTAAGTTCCAGACATGCCATCACGGGACATTATAATTATATTACGTACGTAGATAAAAATTTATTTTTGAGGAACTTTTATCTTCGTGTTTTTAATTAAATCGAGTTTTGAAATAAAAATTATATATGTAAATTTCTTTTTAATATGTAGCTTAATATAGAGTCTATTTTGCTTCAGACCGAAAATTCGAAGCTGCTTTTTTTCAATAAAAAATATAGATATCTCATGAAAGAAAATTTGAGTATATTTCAGTAGTGCAAATATCTCTTCCATTCCATGTGCAGTATCTATTTTTGGACTGTGCTTCACGGCGAGCATTGCAGATGCAATTATGTGTAATTGCGAACACTGTGATGAAGAAAAAATGATAGGTTCAGAAGAGAAAACAGAAGAGGAGACGACTACTCCCGCATGGCGAGTCATGTACAAAGAGGATAGCGACGGTGACGGTAATCGGACAATTTGTGCCATGGATCGCGATTTCAACAATCGCACCTTCCCAAGCATCTGTCACATGTTATGTTACAATCATTGCACGAGATATCGAGTGGAAGTTGAGGGGAATGATGCGAAGAAACATGTCTTGGTTGCCTACAGAATGAGTAAGTAATTGAAAAAAATAGATTTTGGCAATATTTTTCTCACGTCTACGTTTTGAGAACATTATTCTACTAAATATATATTGCATAATATATTCGTGTATATAATATGTTATATAATATATTCATAAGATATGTGACGATTATTCCCCGATTATTAAAGAATGTAAACCAAACTGTTGCAAAACTGAGTAATTTATTAGAAGCTATGATTAATAAACTGAAATTTTACGCAGATTACTACAAATTGAGAGACGGAGCATGCTGAATAGGTTATTCTCGAGACTGTGTAAGTAAACAGATAAGTTAAACTATTTATTGCTACGCTGTACATGATTGTTTTTCTTTTCTCACACTTTAATTTAGTTGTTACTATTATAAGAAGAAGAAAACAATGTATAGGAATATCTAAAAAAAAATCCTCAATTTTTTGAAATTGGGATAACGATATGTTGATCTGATTCATAATAATTGATAAAAATTAAGTTTTACTTTGATTTAATATATTTTATATCTTTCAGGGCGGTGAGAATGACTATATAACTTGAACCAGCCGTCGATTAGTTGCTGTCGAATTTCTTTATAGACGACATGTTCTATGATATAATCGCGATTACTACATATATCTTAATCAAAAGATCTGAAATATATGTTAATTAAGTTACTTTAAATATATATATGTTAAACAATAAATAAACAATAAATTAATAAACTTAAACAATAAATATATATATATATGTATATATAAACATTAGCTAATACACAATATACGAAATATAAGTATTCTCGTCACTTCATTACTCGATAACAAATGAGTGAATCTGACATATCAATGTAGTTCTTCATATAGATGGCTCTCGAAGTCGCACGTTAATTCTCAAAGCAGACGCTATGGTGCGCACGAACATATTCTTCTTACTCGTAATAAAAATTCGGCTCGAGGTCTATAAATACTGCAAAGGCACGAGATTTAGCATACTTACCTGGCGTGTAGGCTACCGTGATCAACAAGGCGGTTCCTTCAGGGCGAGGCTCTTCCATTGCACTAAGGTTCGAGCTGACCCTTGCGAATATCCCTAATGTGGATATCTCGGACGCAAAATTTTTGTTAGTCGGGACTGCGTACGCGCTCTCCCGGATAATACTTATAAAAATAATTACGTATATTTAAGGGATTACATATATATATATATATAATATATATATATATATATATATATATTATATATATTCGAAGCTGCTTTTTTCAATAAAAAATATAGATATCTCATCAAAGATAATTTGAGTATATACAATCATATTAATATTAAATAAAGTAATATTAGTATTTAATAGCACTAAGACATCCGTGCTTGCTCCTTATGTGCTGTTAATTTCTCACTATTAATTTGAGTATATTTCAGTAATGCAAATATCTCTTCCATTCCATGTATAGTATCTATTTTTGGAATGTGCTTCACAGAAAGCATTGCAGGTGCAGTTATGTGTAATTGCGAACACTGTGACGAGGAAAAAGTGATAGGTTCAGACTATTATAAGAAGGAGAAAACAATGTATAGGAATATCTCAAAAAAGATCCTCAATTTTTTGAAATTGGGATAACGATACGTTGTCCTCACTCATAATAATTGATAAAAATTAAGTTTCACTTTGATTGAATGTATTTTATATCTTTCAGGACGGTGAGAATGACGCACTATATAATTTAAACTAACCGTCGATTAGTTGCTGTCGAATTTCTTTATAGATGACATGTTGAGATATTCTTATACATTGTTTTCTCTTTATAATAATAACAATTAAAGTGTAAGAAAAGAAAAACAATCATGCACAACATAGCACTAAATAGTTTAACTTATTTGTTTACTTATAGTTTCGAGAATAATCTATTCAGCATGCTCCGTCTCTCAATTTGTTATAATCTGCGTAAAATTTCAGTTTATTAATGTATATTTTAAATAATTGTGTGCAGTATTTCTGGAAAAAGACTGAAAAGCTTGTAATTACAAATATTTTGTATTAATTTTTAGTTATGTGTAAATGATAGAGAATGTGGTGAATACAAAATTATTAGTCGTACAAGTGTACTGCACCTTCTGGCTTAGGTTGAAATATTAATTTTTAAAACGATATAATCATATAGTAATGACGGTGGAAATTACTGAATGAAGATTATGAAACCGCAGGTATAAAATTTATGTTTATCGACCGCTATGCGGTCGGATTGCGACTCTCAGAAAATACTTTTTTCGTAACGCTAATTATTATATAATAATAATTAAATAATTGTACGTAAAAACTTATTATCCTATTAAAAAAGATCTTACTCTTAAAAAATAAAACTTGAAAAAAGTGTTCAGGATTCAATGAAAGAAATACATGAAATTTTTCTATATATGTTATGATTAAAGGTTGTATAATCTTTATATCCTTTTAATAGAATGGCAACTCATTTCCTGTTCTTGATATCCAATTTGAAATAAGTCAAACTTAGAAATAATATTTTAACAAATTTAATAAAACTGTTTCACAGAGAGAGAGAGAGAGAGAGAGAGAGAGAGAGAGAGAGAGAGAGAGAGAGAGAGAGAGAGA